GATAGGGGAAGATAAACACCGCTTCGGAATATATAACTGAAGCATTATGCAATTCCTTGGATATAACCCTCGAAAGAAGAAAACGGACGCCGGCGGCTATCCTAAACAAACACATGCCAAAAACTAACTTCTAGCACAAAAAGGCTGTTCCGGAAGGCAGCAGCAAGGAAGAGGCAGCCGGAAGCGATGTGGGAGGCTGCGGAGGGAAAGATAATCACCACCTCAGAAGAGAGATACGACATGAGCATTATGCAATCCCTCAGATATAACTCTCGAAAGGAAAAAACAGACTCCGACGGCTAACCTAAACAAACACATGCCAAAAACTGACTCCCAAACAATAATAAAACACATATATGGAAAAGAATGAAAAATGAACGAAGGATAATGGGAAAGAAAGCAAAAAAAGGAGGAAACCCCGTCTCCCATAGGGTTGTAATCGAGCCGAGCCGAGAATATCATTGTTCGGACTTGGCTTGGTATAATTATAAGTTGTTCATGTTCAGATTGAGCATATGTCGAGCTTTCATATATTGTTCAAGTTTAATTTGTTTAACTTTTTCAATGTTTGAACTTGATTTATGCTTGATTTGTTTGTAAATTGTAAATGAGTATTTAAACGAGCTAAAAAATCAAACAGGAATCAAGATTTTCATTGAAAAAAATTTATAAATATATTTGCAATTCTAATTGCAATTATTAAATTATCAATTATAAACTCTAAAATCTTTGAGCTTTACTAATTAACTACATATTTTTTATTATTTTTATTGGTAGGACTATACTAGTTCAAATTTTGTAATGGAAGAACTAAATTGATAATAAAAATAATAATAATAAGACAATCCACATTAATGTTGTTGGAAATTACAGTGTAATGGTCATTAAAAATGAACTCATTACATTCAAGGTTATGAAAACTCTACAAGAAAAATCTTTTATGGAACTCCTTTAATTGTAAATATATCATTCTAAATTATCATTCACTTATTAGAAAAATAAATATATAATTATAATTAAACCAAAAATATTATTGATATAATAATATATTGCTATTAAATCTATAATTAAAAAAACTTTAACTAATTAAATTTTATTTAAATAATATATCAAATATATAATACGAGTTATTATCGAACTTAATATCAAGTATTTAACAAGTTACTTGTTGAACAACAAACGAGTTTGTTCGTGACTATAAATAAATAAGTTCGACAATGTTCATATTCAATTTATTTAAACTTCGAGCTTCAAAAAATTCTTCAAGCTTATTTATTTACTAATTTGAACGAAAATGATCAAGCCTTAATCGAGTCAAGCTCAAGTAGTTCATCGAGTGCATTGGTTCATCTACAGCCCTAAGACTCTCCCATCTCCTACGATCGTGTGGGAATCGCGATTCGCGTCCCTCATTCAAGGTGGAAGTGGAGCAGTCCAGTGTTTTTCACCAAAAAAAAAAAAAGAAAAAAAGAAAAACAACCTCAGTCTGTGTCCTAAAATACATGTGAATGACCATATGGAAGTCCTCTAGCCACGCACATCGTCTATTATAGCGTGTGTTTACGGATTTATGTGAGCTCTCTTTTAAGAACAATTCAAATGAGACAGGATTGAATCTAATGACTACAGAAGAGAAAATCACTTGTCCCTCATCATCTTCAATCCTCTATAAGAGTACCCTAAAGAGTAGGATTGCTTAGAAGATTGGTGTTTTCAACATACCCATCCTAGTAAGGTTAGGGTTGCTTAAGAGGATTGGTGTCTTCAACATGCCCACTCCAATGCACGTGAGAAAAAAAATATATGCATAATAAGATTGTTTGCAACCATAAGTTTTGGCTTCTACAATGACACAGAGGTGTACATAGGTTTTTGGGAAGGGCGGGTGCAGATAGGTTTTTGGGAAAGGCAGGTGCAGATAGTTTTTTGGGAAGGTCGGATGACGGCTTTTGGTGTAAACAATTTTAGTTGCTTCTGTGTTATCGTAACAAATCATATCCCTTCTATTATGACAGTAGACTTTGTTCAAACCTAACCATGTAAATTTTAATTATTATATCTATAACTTTTTATCTTTTATTCGGTGCATCATATTTGCTTCTCAAGGGGCCTTCACATTGAGATAGATGTTCAAGTAAAATGTTAAGGCAGAAAAAACTAACCTGGTTGAAATGCTGTTGCAACTTTTCATTGGTAAAATTGATACAAAATTGCTCAAAACTGCCCACATTAAAATACAAAAAGAAATGGTAAGGGAATTTTAATTTCAATAATATAGATGGAATGATTTCAAATCTTTATGATAAATTACCTGTTGCACTTAAAACTCTCAAAACCATAAATATCAAGAACTCCAATCAGTGACTTTGAATTTGGATCTTGTCCAATTGATACATTGATCTTTTCCACTAACCTGTTGAAGTATCAACAGTCATATTTACATCACTTTCACTTTCACCAACACTTCACATTGCACAATGCTATGGAAAGATTTTATAACATTCTATGCTTGACCTTACCAATCAAAAAGACGAGAATATAAAGTCTTTGCAAAACCATCCCTGCTGACAATTGCAGAAGCAGGATCTAGAGTTCTTGTGATAATTTCTTCTGGTGTCACCATCACACGCCTAATAAGTGCATTTTCCAGTCCCTGGGCATCACACCTACAATGAAAAATAGATTAAAAGCCAACAGCATTATCAGCAATGTGAAATAAAGTTAAGAGAAAAAACAAGAGGACTTACATCAGTAGTTCAGAAGCTGTCTTAAGATGAAACCTTGATTTGTCATCCTTAATGACAGAAGAATCTATTTCCTCTCCTTTTGCAAAATCAATATTCCCTATATGAAGAATAGCAGCTACCACTCTGAATATTGCTTCCTGAAGAAAAAAATTTCAGTTATTATCATGAATTGACAAATAGCGAATATCTATTGGAGAAAACTAAGACATAATTTCTTTCTAAAAATTTTATTCTAGAAATATAAAAAAAATGATTTAACCTGTTCGCATTCACTGATTCCAACTATATCCATTGCCCTTATTGTAGCAAGATATTCAAGAGAATCATCAACGCCATCCAATTCATAACAATCAGACTGATTTAGATAGTGAAATGATTGTGGACTTCCCAATTTATATTTCTCTTTTACCTGCAAATTACAAGGAATATTTTCTTTAAACTTTATAAGTGTTTAGTAGAAGGCCAAAACCATATAATAAATAGGCAATACAAAATGCTAAAATCAAGTTGTAAAAGAGCCTTTGCATTTGCACCTCCTGAGGAGCAGCACAAAGAAGGTAAAAGCAGTGGTAATTCCTTTCTGGAGTATTAATTTGGCAAACACGTGATCTTTCAAGCAAGTAGGTCCTAATAGCAGCACCAGATATTCTTCCACTCTTGTCAAATTGTATTTCAACGAACTTGCCAAAGCGACTTCATTGAATTCCATCAACAAAATCAGGTGGTTAAAGCTAGTAAAATATTTCATAGAGGACAACAAAGAAGAATAATCTAACATATTAAACCTAATAAATGTCAAATTTTACAACTTCACATATGATACTCCATGGATGCTGCTAAAAAGCAAAGCCCAAATAAAAAAAACAACATTCGATAATATTTACCTTGAGTTATTATTTCTAACAGTTTTTGCATTCCCAAATGCTTCAAGGACTGGGTTGGACTGGAAGTAACAAAAAAAGTAGGCATAAAATTTATGTCAAAACAATAGGAACTTGCAAGATAAATAAGAGAAGAAGGGTGGCTTTCATGAAGAATTGATTGCATTCTTCAAATAACAAAGTATTTTTTACTTACTTCCAAAACTTGCTGTTCAACCGTTCTTCCTTCTATTCCAGAACGACCACCCAAATAAGCAAGATATCTCATAAGCATCTTTGTTGTTTCGGTTTTACCAGCACCACTTTCTCCACTAACCAAAATGGAATTGCTCCTTCCTTCATTAATCATAGCCCTACATTCTTGCAGGAAAACATACATCAACAAAAGTTGTGAAGAATACTTGCGGTAGAAATAGATAAACCAATAAGAATTACCTGTAAGCAACATCTGCAACAGCAAATACATGGGGGCTAAGCTCTCCAAATCCTGCTCCTTTATACTGCCCCATCATGTGGGTGTCATAAAGATGCGGCAACCTTTGAAAAGGGTTTACTGCAATTAAGATGTTGCCAGTATACGTCTGAAAGCTCAAAATCAAAATGTCAGTGGCACTGAAACTTTTTTGTATCCTAGATAATTCTAACTCAGAACTGAGACAGAGATAAATATTTTACATAAATCTCATTGAGCTCATATCTTGTGGCCAGATTTTGAAGCACACCAGGTTCATGCAAATATGATAATCTTGTCATATCATCCACTCCACCAGGGGGAGCCTCTGTATCCTTCGGAAATACCTTTGATACATTTGCAACAACCTAAACGGAAGAATTAAGAAAAATAATTACAAAACCACATAAATAGCTAATTCTAAAAAAAGTTTAAAAAAAAACCCTAAAAGAGGAGTTCTGCCACAAATATTTTGTCCGCAAGGTACTAACTCTTTTTGTGTAAAATTTTATGTAAAGTTTCTAGCCATGTTACTTTTGGTGCACAAACCATTATGTACAATTTCTAACCATGGCACTTTTGACCTACATCTTCTGTGTATTCATTCTAAATTAAATATATCTATTGTTTAAAAATTACCGCTCAATCCTTCCTAGTTTTGTCATGCCTCTATAACTTAGCTATCAATAACTTCATATTGCCCACTCACGTCACGTCCATATAACAAAATAGGTGCTACTATACTATATAAATTTAAATTTAGGTTTCCCTGATAACCTATGATAGCATTATACTTGTGAGACCATTCTCTATTTTAACAAACCAACTTTAAATTTAAATATTATATCCTCAAAAATAAATTCAAGATATTAAATATTAAAAAAATGCATTTCACTTGATGTTCCAGGAATATGAGTGATAATTGTCAATTTGATATCCCATATCATATTATGTACTGAATCATTTCCCCAATAATTTAAGATCCCTCTTGCTTAATAGAAAATAATAATAATAATAATAACATATTCAAGTCCAACACAAAACACAACTTGTCCCAGGCTCCACACATGTGACTCATCATAGCCCTCTCCATATCAACCTGTCTGCATCTCATTCAAATAATCTTGCACCCACCTTTACCAGCAATGTTCACACGTACAATCTCTCATGCAACTCATCTCTTCTCGATCTAAAAGTTCACACACATGCTCCTGCTCCAAGAATTTCACTTTAAGTTAGTGAGCATTGTTCCCATATTCCTATGTTCTCCATCATTCACTCTCCCTCAATGTCTCTTATGCTAGTTAACCCTTTCCTTCGCACTCTCTTTCTCACATATTTCTATTGCAGGTCCGTCTTCGACCCTGCCCACACCCCAGCATTTCACTCCTAAGCAGTCTCACTTCAAAGAATATCGTACATACTTCAATCTCATTTCAGGCTGACCGATAATGTGGAAACCCGTGTCATTTAGTCTAGCTAAATTGAATACAACACGACTTTCAATTCTGGCCATCAGTCCTACATCAGGTCAATTCTCCCTCCACGACTTCGAACAATATTATTTGGTATGAATAAGGTGAGTGATTGTTTTCTCTCCAGCAATTATATAAGGCTAAAACTCTGATAGATTTTATGCTATCAATAGGTGGCCAATAATCATTTAGTGACTTGTTGGCATACTTAGGGCATCCTTCTGATTATTGGAGAAAAACAAAGCTTCACTGACACATCAAATTCCCTCCAATGAGAAAAAAGAAAAACTATCAATACCCCCATAAAACTCAGCGAAAACAACTCTAATGATCTAAATTAAGCATGCAAAATCATAATTGCATTTAAATTAAAACAAGGAAGAAGATACACTTTAACTGATGCAATGCATGTCTAAAAATAAACGGGATACAATAAGCGCTCACCTGGCATATGTGATAACTAATTGTTCAGCAATTAAATTAGCAAAAAGCCATTTCAAGTTTATAAGAGTCCACAATTTAAATAAAAAGAAGAATACATTCATCTAGGCTGCTACAACCAATCTGGCTATGCAACGATTCATAATAAAATTTTATAAAATTATTGTCAACTTTCAACTAATTCAACCAAACATTTCGTGAAATGTGGAAGTGCCTAACACATTTGAAATTACTTTAGAAAGTGTCAGTATGTCAATGTATTCCAACAGACAACAACATCATACATATCACATAATAACCTTCACTCATGTTCATGCCTTGATATGTATGCCAAATGCATTGATTTGTGCCAAGCACACTACACCCACAAAACTTCGATTCAAACACATACTATTGACCTAGTTGATCAAATAGATAAAACAAGAAACTGGGTCTGACCTTGTTGATTCCTAGTTGATCTAAGCGTCCTGGTGAGTCATCACTCTGACCTAGTTGATCAAATAGATAAAACAAGAAACTGTGTCTGACCTTGTTGATTCCTAGTTGATCTAGGCGTCCTGGTGAGTCATCACTCTAGTCGTCTTGTCCAAAGCATAAAAATATAAACTTATCCTTATAGTTCAATCTACATTCAAAGCAACAAGATTTATGTTTAACCACCTTAAACGGGAACTATAAGCCTCAAATACATATAGAGTAATAAATCATAATACTCCTACAAGAATATAGAATACCAAATCAAAATAAATTCTTTCATTGGTCATTCGATGGATATGAACCAAATGCCAATTAAGACGCTAACACAAAGACAACAAGCCCATCAAATTAAAATAAAATGTGCCTCCCTACATGCATCATAATTAATAGACTAGCATAGAATCAGCAAGCATGTCAAATTAAACCATACGTGCCGCCTTACCTATAGGTAAGAAAAGTAAGATTATAAGACCGCTCACCAGACTTTCCTCTTCCTCATTAAAAATCTCATTTATGAGCATTCCCATGGCTAAAGCCCCATCCTAATCAATTTAGAAATACTTGTAGTGATAGGAAAAAGATCACTGAAGGTAGTCAAATAAACCTAACAAGCTTACAATGTAATAATCTCTCTTATTTAGGAATTTTGAAGCATGGCTAAAGCCCCATCCTAATCAATTTAGAAATATTTGTAGTGATAGGAAAAAGATCACTGAAGGTAGTAAAATAAACCTAACAAGCTTACAATGTAATAATCCCTCTTATTTAGGAATTTTTGAAATCACCCACTTGCTCAAGAAGTAGACTATCAGAATTAAAAGAGATGGCTCATCCAACTAAAATTTTACTCAAAACAAATTTCTTAATTGTACAGGTTAAGAACCCCCAAGTTTTTTAAAAATTTTTGAAATTCCAAACCAATGATTAAACCAGACACAAAACGTTATCATTTTAAAAGCTCAAAGCTCACGAGAATTTCACTCATGATTCACAGTGAAGTACTTTGTGAATGCTATACCAATGGAAGCCAATTACAAAGCTCGCAACTAGGGCAATGGAGTAACTAAGCTCATCCCATCATAGGTTTAATCACCAAGTACACGATCAGAATGATGGAGGAAATAGGCTCATCTAATCACAAGTGTAGCAAACTCCCAAAATGAATAATGAAGAAATTAGGCAAATGATGTAAGTGGTGGAGGAAATACATTTGTCAAGCATGCAACTCAAGACATAAAACATCTGACAAAGGTAGTGAGGTCAAATATTGAGACCGAGACTGCTAATGACATGAAGCCAAGAATTTTAATTAAAAGCCTTTTAAGAAGACACATGCTCACAAGTTTAGCAAACTCCCAAAAAGAATAGTGAAGAAATTAGGCACATGATGTGAGTAGTAGAGGAAATACACTTGTAAAGCTCACAACTTAAGACGTAAAACATGTGACAAAGGTAGTAAAGTCAAATATTAAGACCGAGACTGTTGAAGACATGAAGCCAAGAATTTTAATCAAAAGCCTTCTAAGAAGACACATGCAAGTAAGAGAAAGTTGTGAACCTTAGTTAATAATCATAAAATCAAAAGCCCCACATTAATCTATCCTGCTTCAAAAATTTTAACCCAAGGAATGGCACAACCAACTCTCATAAAAAGATAACATCCTAAGCATAAACTTAAAAATTATTACCAAAATAAAACTACAAAAATGACAAAAAAATACAACTATCAAAATCAAGTATAAGTTTAATTTTTAAATTTTTCATCATAATGCAAACGATTTGTGTTTTTGGTCGCTGAGAACTATGTATAAGAATTGCATCAAATTCACAAGGCTTCGGATTAAGTCACATAGATGAAATTTTAAGTTTCATATATTCTTTAAATAAATTCTCTGAGATGTTAATGAAATTTAAATTTTTCCATGATCTTTTTATGAATTTATAAATTGAGAATTAAGGACCAATAATAAAATCAATACCAACTTGATTATTTTTAATAGGGATATTTTTTTAGATAATACATCAAAAGTTGCATTACCAGATTACTCAATTGATTCATCAGCATCAGCAGGCACATTGTAATTTAGTTGTATTCTAATTGATATTTAGCTTAAAAAATTATCCCAATTTCATATTCAATGTCAATTTTAGATTTAACTCCTGTGAAATTTTTGTTCAGACTCATGAACAAGCCTTAATATAGACTCAAGTGCATTCAGATTTAACAAAAGTTATTGTAACTATAAAACTTTCCCTGCAAAAGGCTACCCATAATCTAAAATTTCTTTAATAAGATTAAGGGTCCGTTTGGGCCAGCTTATTTGGTTCGGTGGCGTTTTGAAAACGCACCTGACCTGTTTGGGTAAACTGCGTTTTGGCTGCGGTCTAGCTTTTTCAAAAAAATAAAAATTTGTAATAGCCACCGCACCTAGCTTATCAGCAGATTATTTTTAATCAGCTTATCAGCAGATTATTCAATAAGTTGCAGCTGCCCCAAATAGACTCTAAAACTGACTTTAGCAAGCTATAAATGTGCTTGTGATGATAATCATTTTTCTCTTAAAAGATTAATCATAGTTCCATTAATCCTACCAAGAGAATATTTATAATATTTCCCAATATCTAGATCTATATATAAAACTTCATCTAATCATGTGGATTAAATTTTAATACATTCTTCACGAAAAAAATAGCCATAAAAAAGTTATATCTAGGTATATAATATTGGCTAAGATTTTTAAACCTTATAAAAAAATCCAAACACATTATAGTCACCTCATTTAATTTTTTACAATGATCATGCAATTGATAAATTGGTCTGTTCAATCATTAAATGACAAAAATTATTTTTAAAATTCTCTTTCAAATCAACCCAAGTAGGTTTTGTTGTATCAAAACTACTTTGCCAAAAATATTGAGCAAGGGCCATTATCTTATCCATTCCTTAACCTAATAATAATTAAGTTGGAAATGTT